AAGCCTGCGAATTATACACTTGTATATGTATAGCGAATTATATAGTTTTTATGTTTGCTATGGAGCGCAATTATGCAAAGTTTGCTATAGCATACAAATATGAATTTTTTGTTTGCTATATGTGAAAGTTGCCCTTAGAATTATAGCGGAGCATTTGTAAATCTTTTATAAATAAAATAAAATAAAAAGCCAAAAAAAAGGAATCTCGTAAAGATAGAGAAAAGACACAAAGTTGCCATTAAAGTTGTCCCGATTTTCAAAAAGACATCTTAACTTTGCAATCATCCTATTACCCACTAAACAGTTTTGAAAAATATTATTATATCATTTTTTTATCAGCCCCAGATTTTAAGAAGCAAGTGTGTTCACACGCCAATCATTATATGATACATGTTAATTTTATTAAAATATTGTTGTTTTTTAATTTTAAGTTTCTCTCTCTCTCTCTCTCTCTCTCTCTCTCTCTCTCTCTCTTATTTTAAATTTTGATTTTATCTCAAATTTCACTTCATCTTCCACCGCCCACTTTCAAGTGATACATCGCTCCATTTTCTTTCTTTTTCTTCACTTCTCATCCTCCCCGCCCCTGTATCAAGTTGAACCCCACTCTCATTTTTTTCTATTTCTTCTTCTTCTCCGGTCAAATTCTTTTTGAAATTCATACTATTTTTTAGGATTTATTGATTATTGATAGCAAAATTAATTTTTTTCCAAGAAAATTTATATTTTGAAGGTATCATCAACTACTCATTTTTATATAACTTCAAAATTAGAAATGATAGCTTTAAACAATGAATTTTTTTGAAAATTGAAATAACTTACTTTTTTCAGATTGAAAAAAATTATGTGATTAATTATGTTGAAAGTTAGTGGGTTTGTCAAATTGTTCGAAATGTAAGAAAATATTTAGATAAATTTTAAATTGACAAGAGTAAAATTAATAGTAGTAAAACAAGGAAGGTGAAGTTATGGTAAAAATGGTGGCACAAAAAGTGAGAAGGTTCAATGAAGATGAATGAATTTGTGAAGAAGAAAGAAGAAACAAAGAAAAAATAAAATGGAAAAAAAAATTAAATTAGTATGAAAAATAAGAAATATGTTATAAAGTATTTGTATTATAGTGAATGTCTATCATGTGGAGTCCTTTTTAGGATATGATTAAAGAGTCCTCCTACTTGGGGACAAAGTTAGATTTCTCCTATAAATGGAGTGCTCCTCTTCATTGTAAATTCATTCATTAATAGAAATAACAAGTCTTCTCTTCTTTTCTCTCTAGTTTCTTCTTCTTATTCTATAGTTTTATAACACGTTATCAGCACGAGACTCTAATTTCTCAAAAGTGAAGGTTAGATTTGAAGAATTAATAAAGGTATTATTTATTCTTTTGTTTTTAATTTTAATGGTCAATCTTACAAAACTAGAGTTCACTGCCCTTCAAAGTTCGGGCAGGAACTACCTCTCATGGGTGTTGGATGCTGAAATCCACCTTGATGCAATGGGTCTTGGAGACACCATAAAAGAGGAAAATAAGGCATCAAATCAAAACTGTGCACGAGCAATGATATTCTTGCGTCATCATCTTGACGAGATTCTGAAAATAGAATATCTGACAGTTAAGGATCCACTTGTTTTGTGGAAAAACCTTAAAGAAAGATTTGACCACTTGAAGATGGTTATACATCCAAAAGCACGATATGATTGGATGCATCTAAGGCTACAAGACTTTAAGTCTATACATGAGTATAATTCTGCCATGTTCAGAATTACTTCTCAATTGAAATTATGTGGAGAAACGGTTAGTGAGATTGATATGATGAAAAAGACATTCTCCACTTTCCATGCCTCGAATGTGCTATTGCAGCAACAATATCGAGAGAAAGGTTTCAAAAAGTATTCTGAACTAATTTCCCATCTTCTTGTGGCCGAGCAAAATAATGATTTATTATTGAAAAATCATGAGAATCGACCTACTGGATCTAAACCACTTCCTGAAGTGAATGGGCGTACACCCACCATGCTAGGCGTGGAAAAGGTCGTGGTCCTAATCATGGACGTGGACATGGTCGTGGACGTGGACGTGATCGTGGTTATGGTTAAGAACGTAATTCTATTCCTGGTATTAATCATTCATAAAATAAAAAGGAAAAAAGAAAGGATGAGAAACGTGAAGCAACTAGGGAAGGTTGTTTTCGATGTGGTGGAAGAGGTCATTATGCACGTGATTGTCGTACTCCCAAACACTTGGTTGAGCTTTATCAAGAATCACTAAAGAAGAAAGAGAAAAATCATGAGGCAAATTTTATCTCTGAAAATCAAGTTGACATCACGCACTTAGATGTAGCAGATTTCTTCGCACATCCTGAAAAAAAATAGATCACTTAATTGGTGATGGTTCTGTGAACATGGAAGAGTGATATTTTTTTTGGTAGTATTTATTAATAAATTTCATGTAATGATAGTTGTTTGCATGAATATTAGTATTTCAAATTAGTTTAGTCGTTCATTAGCTCGTTCCTTAATTCTTAATAAAATAATATATATTTTTCATTGATTTACTTATATGATTCTAATATGATAGAGTTAGTCAAATACTAAAATTTATCACGTGTTTATATTATATTAGGTCTTTAACTTGATCTAATGTTAAAAACATGCAATCTGTTATTAACTAGGACTAAATAATGATTTTATTTTATTTTCCTAACAACTCGTTTTTGACTTAGAGGAAACGAATAAATTAAGGCTTAATTTCTAATATTTAATTATTAATTTATTCCTTTGAATATATTGTACCCTTTTGACAACACTAATATTTAATATATATTTATTTAGTGTATGTCATTTCATGTGAAGATATGGATAATTCTAAGAACATATTATCGAAATATGAAGATATTTGTTTGATTGATTCTGGTACAACACATACGATATTCAAAAATAAGAAATATTTTTCTCATTTAAGTATGGGTAAAATATATGTTACTATAATTTTTTATAGTACTAATATGATTGAGGGTTTCGGAAGAGCCATTATAATTTTGCCCAAAGGAACTAAACTCATCATTGATAATGCTATATTTTCTCCAAAATCTAAGAGAAACTTGTTGAGTTTTAAAGATATCCGTGAAAATGGTTATCATATCCAATCAATGGATGAAACAAATCTTGAATATCTTGGTATCACCAAGAATGTCTCTGGGCAAACATGTGTTATAGAAAATTTATCTGCCTTATCTTCTAGCTTGTATTGGACAAAATTAGTGCAATTGAGGCACATTTTATAGTAAATAAGAAGTTTACTGATTCCAATACATTTGTACTTTGGCATGATCGTCTAGGACATCCTGGGTCAAAAATGATGAGACGAATTATAGAAAATTCGAATGGACATTCACTAAAAGACCTAAAAAAAATTTTAAATGGTGAATTTTCTTGTACTGCTTGTTATCAAGGCAAGTTAATTGTGAGACCATCACCAATGAAAGTTAAGATTGAGTCCCCTGCGTTCTTGGAACGTGTACATGGGGATACTTGTGGACCTATTCACCCACCTAGTGGGTCATTTAGATATTTTATGGTTCTAATAGATGCTTCTTCTAGATGGTCTTATGTGTGCCTATTGTCATCTCGTAACTTGGCATTTGTAAAATTATTTGCACAAATAATAAGGTTAAGGGCACACTTTCCTGATAATCATATTAAATCCATTCGTCTTGATAATGCTGCAGAGTTTTCGTCCCAATCATTTAATGATTATTGTTTAGCAATTGGGATAAGAGTTGAACACTCCGTTGTTCATGTTCATACTCAGAATGGTCTTGCTGAATCATTAATTAAACGTTTGCAATTAATAGCAAGACCATTGCTTATGAAAACTAAGTTGCCCACTTCTGTGTGGGGACATGCAATTTTGCATGCTGCAACACTTATTCATCTCAGACCGACAGGCTATCATAAGGTTTCTTCATTGCAATTGGTTATGGGTCAAGAACTGTAACGACCCTTTGGGTCGTTTTATGTGTTAAAATCTTATGTTTCATAAAATACTTTTTGATATATTCTAAATGGATATTTTGGACTATTTGGGATTATAATTATGAAATTAGTGGGGTAGTTTTTAATAGTTATTTAGTTGGTGGTTAAGAAAAGTAACATTAGAAGTAAAGTGGATCACTTTTACTATTTTTATAATTAGTTAGGTATACAATTAGGGTAATAAAAATTAAATTAGATTAAAAGAAGGTTATTATAATTTCTATCCCAACAAATTATGAGCCGCACAAACTCTTAAAGGATAGAACATCAAAATTATCGCAGGTAAACAATTTTTTTTTTTTGTTATTGAAATCTATTCCTTGCCAATGTTGATGGTTGCATGAATATAGTGTTATTATTATTTAGTTGAAAGGTGATTTGGAATTGAAGAATTGCTTTCTGCACAACATCAATAAATTGAAATGGGGTGTATTAAATTAATAAATAATGGTCTTTCTTAATGATTGTAAATTAATTAAGGTTGATATTGGCAGGATAACGTTAAGGGGTATAATGGATGGTTGTTTGTTTTTTTTTATTTTAAATTCAAGTTACCGTATGTAACTTGATGACAGTGTTGGGTTTCATATTTAATGGGTCATAGTTTCTTTAGAGAAATTAAATGATTGATACTACTATTTTTATATATAATATTATATATTGAGTTGGAAAGAAATGGTTTGTGGATTATTATTATTATTGAATTATCAATTGGTTGGGTTACATTGGCATATGATAAAGGGAATGGCTAACATAATACTGTGGGTGGAAGGAAAATGGTTACTTGGATAAACTTGTGAAAGTTTGATAAATACAGTGCAACGTGGTCATTCACGGACTCGAGGTATAATATTTTGTCGGATAGTAATTAGTTAATGATAACTAAATATTTTAAGGGCTAAATTTATGTTTGCAAGTGTTCGTTCTGTTATTATAATATAATTAAGTTTTAATATATTGAGATAGGTAATTAAATATGAAGACATTATGTATGTAACATAGGAATTGATATTTAATCCTTGACTTTAAATTTAGCGAATATGAGTGATCTTTACCTGTTTATTGGCATCAAAATTAGGAACTTGATTATAGAATTGAGCGTGTTTGTTTACGAAAACTATATACTTGATAGATTAGAAAGGTTCGGAAGCATTGAGGAAAGAAAGAACATTGGAGAAGTAGTTGCTTGACTTCAGTTCTTCGGTGGAGGTAGGTTATGGTTTATTTCTATTTGATAGATAAAATCTAAATAGCGATTGATATATACTGAGTGATATTGTAAAGTCTCCTATGTACTTGATTGTGTGGTTGCATGTTTTGATTGTGTGGTTTGTGGTTGGCCTAAAATTATGAGAGTGTTGAAATTCTAATCTTGAACCGTCTCTATTAAAATGACGCCTTGAATAAAGAAGACTTGCTGAAATAAAATAATGAGATAATTGGATCGGAGTGTCACGTTCCGACACGGTATTATGGGATCAGAGTGTCACATTCCCACACAATAACATTAAAGACAAGGAATCTTGAAGTAACTTAATATACTTAATCTCAAGAAACCTATTTTCAAAATGAGTATGGTGTGGAGGCATGAGTCCTCATACGTGTGCTTGATGTTGTGATTGATGGTGTACCTATTATGGTGTTGTTGTTGTCAATGGTTCATGTGTTTGTTGCTTGCCACATGTTAAGTATTGTAGTTGATTTTTTATTATTATTCATTATATATTTATTTCTATTTTGAGTTCACCGATGATACCTACTCAGTACGTGTTCCTTGTACTGACCCCTACTTGTATTTTCTTCTTTGTTCTTTTGTGGAGTGCAGCAAGTGTACCGTCGACTTCGACTCGCCCTCAGCTCTAGTCAGTCTCCAACACATCAGAGTTCAGGGTGAGCTATTATTCCTAGCTCGTGCTGGATTCTCTCATTCACGTCTTGATGTCTTTGAATTTTGGACATGGACCATCTTTTTGCTTATTTTGGTTTCTTAAATACTCTTAGACTTGGTAATTTGAGGATAGATGTTCTTGATGTGATGACTTCCAGATTTTGGGGATAATAAGTGTTAAACTTTAGAAGCCTATTTAATTGGCTACATTAATAAGTTTGGATCTTCCGCATTATTTTTTTGTTATTCATAGTTGAACTATTGGTAAATGTTGGGGTTTAGATTTGTTGGTTCACTCACCTAGTAGGTTAAGTGTGGGTGCCACTCGCGACTCGTTTTGGGTAGTGACAAGAACCTAATATATCCCATCTAAGAATTTTTGGAAGTGTTGTATATGTGCCTGTGGCACCACCAAACCGCACTAAGATGGGCTCTCAAAGAAGGTTAGGAATATATGTTGGGTTTGAGTCACCCTCCATTATTCGCTATCTTGAACCATTGACTGGAGACATGTTTACTGCTAGATTTGCATATTGTCGGTTCGATGAGACAGTTTTTCAAAAATGAGGGGGAGAGAATAGTGAAATAAGACGAGAAATTTTGTGAAAAAAATTATCATTGTCTCATCTTGATCGATATTCTTCTACTTGCGAACAAGAAGTACAAAAGATTATTCATCTGCAGAAAATTGCAAATCAAATGTCAGACGCATTTACAAATTTGAAAAGAATTACTAAATCACATATTCCTGCAGAGAATGTCCCAATTCGAATTGATGTCCCTAAAGGACCATCCACTAGTGTCATAGCTAATGAGTCAAAAACACACCTAAAGCGTGGTAGACCATTGGGGTCTAAGGATCAAAATCCTAGAAAAAGAAAGATTAAATGTCAAGATGACACTATGAAAGAATCTCATATGGAAGTTCAAAATTTGAATAAGTCTGATATTCATGAAAGAATCAATGAACTTGAAACTCAAGGAAATAATGAACTATCCATAAATTTAAGAGATGTTGAAACTAATATCAATCGATCAGAAATAGTGGTTGATTATGTCTTTGCATATAATGTTGCAACAAATATCATGCAAGATAATGAGGATCATGAACCTTAATCTGTTATAGAATTTCGACAACGAAATGATTGGCCAAAATGGCAAGAAGCAATTCAATCAGAGTTGAATTCACTTTCCAAGTGTGAAGTTTTTGGACCTATAGTTCAAACACCTAATGGGGTTAAACCTGTTGGTTACAAATGGATTTTTGTGCGACAAAGAAATGAGAAAAATGAAATATAAAGGTATAAAGCACGCCTTGTGGCACAAGGATTTTCTCAACGGCCTGGCATCGACCATGAAGAGACATACTCACCCGTTATGGATGCAATAACATTGCGTTATCTCATTAGTTTCACAGTCCATGAGCAACTTAAAATGCATTTGATGGATATGGTTACATCCTACCTTTATGGATCACTTGATAATGAGATATACATGAAAATTCCTGAAGGATTTGCGATGCCTAAATCATGTAATTCAAAATCTCGAGAAATATATTCAATTAAATTGCAAAGATCATTATATGGTTTGAAGTAATCTGGGCGCATGTGGTATAACCGTCTTAGTGAGTATTTAATTAAGGAAGGTTATACAAATGATGCAATTTGTCCATGTGTCTTTATAAAGAAAACAATATCGGAATTTATTGTACTTGCTATTTATGTTGATGACATAAATCTTATTGGAACTCCAATAGAGCTTCAAAAGGCAATTGATTATTTAAAGAATGAATTTGAGATGAAAGATCTGGGAAGAAACAAAATTATGTCTTAGTTTGCAAATTGAGCATTTGACAAATGGTATTTTTGTTCATCAATCTGCCTACACAGAAAAAGTGTTGAAAAGATTCTGTATGGATGAAGAACATCCATTAAGTACTCCGATGGTTGTTCGTTCACTTGATGTGAATAAGGATCCATTCCGACCTCAAGAAAAGGATGAAGAAATTATTGGTCCTGAAGTACCATATCTTAGTGCAATTGGTGCACTAATGTATCTTGCTAATACTACAAGGCTTGATATAGCTTTTGCTGTTAACTTGTTAGCAAGGTATAGTTCTGCTCCTACTAGGAGACATTGGAATGGGATCAAACACATTTTGCCATATCTTAAAGGGACAACTGATATGGGCTTACTTTATTTTGTTAATTGTATCCCAAATCTTGTTGGTTATGCTGATGAATGATATTTATCTGATCCACACAAAGCTCGATCCCAAACAGGCTATGTGTTTATATGTGGGGGGACTGCCATAT